GTAAGATCATCATAACCGCTAATTAAAAAATTAAAAAGGGTCCAGACATCCGAAGAAAGTCCGACAGATGGTGTCCTCATTTCATAAAGAGGGCAGATCAGTGATAAGCTATCACCTAATCTCGCTTGATTAATCGCCGCGCAATCTAAAGACTGCTTTGACTGCTTCTCGGTAGCGGTCTTTGGACAAAGGGCGCTCGTTAAAAATAATGAAGACAGTTAAGGCGCGGTCATGCACTGAAAATTTAATTACAATATCGTCTGTCATATGAATGGGAGCGATGAAAAGAAACGTTGAGAGAAATTCATACATCCGATCCTGAAGATTGTTATACTCGTACATATTTAGTGCAACTAAATGCCTGACAACCATATTAAATTGCGAGTGTCACCTCCAAAATATTATGTAAAATATAAGTAAATAGGTTACCGAAGCAGTCGCCAGGCTGTCTCGAGTAACCTGCATGTTTGCACAAATGCACCGCTTTGTCGAAAATACGATATGCGATACGTTGGGGTTAAGCGAATGACAATAAATTTTATACGCACGATCGGCTCATCTCTGAAGTATCCAACAGTTTTTCATTCAATACGGTATTATCCTGCTTTCGCCTCCGAGATTTATTTTACCATGTAGTACCCCTGTACGACAACCCAATCCGCACACAATATTCAGCGTAGTAGTAGTAAAAAACAAAAGAGCGGGCAACCCCACCCCTACCACGCTGTGGGCTCGGTGTCCGAGCGGTCCCATTCCTTTGTGCGCACGCGCAACGACCGCACGCAGTATAAGAAAAATGCTTAAGTGACGTCACCAGGACGTTTTTACCGACAAAAAACGTAATTATTTTAAGTTGTGCAGTGTAGTGACGAGAATTAGACCCAACACAGGATAATTTAGATCGAACTTCACTTGGTAAGTTCGTTTGATCATTCAAAAATGAAACTTAATCTGTACATAAATTCCATTACCAAAGCAATTTTATTGATTTTTTACGTTAAAATGATCGCTGTTCGAATCGAGTCGGGAGAAAATCATAATTCGGCCGATATTGAGGTTACTTTTACTCGAAATGATTCATTTCCATTCATCCGGCGTTCGTAAGTCTACCACTTAACACGGTCTCTGCGGTCAGCCGCCACGCCGTCTCGCTGCGTACCTCCGCCTCTTCCGCTGCAGTCCCAGCTAATAATAACCCAGTTATTAGCACAGACGAATTGCTCAGGAAGCTGCTATTTGCTGTCATTACGGACAGGTGGTGTGGAGCGGCAGCAAAATGGTTAAAGGATACTCAAGTTCGTTGACACTTCAAACTGGCAATGTTTAAATATACGATAACATTTTTTCTGTAGCTTATTAGAAGGCGTGTTTCCTGATATTATGCAAATGCAAAATAATGTAGGTATTCAGTATAATTAAAATATCCATCACATCACACGTTTATAACCGTATGGCTTAAGACGGTATCATAGACGTAAAAACATGAATGTTAGTCGCAGTAGACATCCAACTGGATATTTTTAAACTTGAATGACCATTTTGTATTGCTTTATAAAAGTCTTTACAAATAACACAATAAAACAACGAGATTCCCTTCTGAATATATGAATGTCAGCGAAATAAAAAAGACTGCAAATATTTATTTAGCAAGACATAATTGCTCAATAAAATTGCCATTGCGCCTTCGCGCTATTTTTTGCTGCAAAGGCTCGGCGCTCCAGGCACTCGGTGCATCTTACAAAATTAAGCACAAGTACGGATAACTTGAAACTCGTTAAAGCGAGTGTTCCGTACAATTTAATAGAATTACTAAATTACGCATACAATTTATGCTATAGTTGAAATAGTTATTGCAACTGAGTAATTGCATTTGAGCACTACACAATACGTTTACGGGTACCGCCTTGCAACTCGAGACATTTGATTTACTATTTCCACTTAATAAACAATTTTCGAAACATTAATAATCGCACTTTGAAACTTTATGCATAGCTATTCAATTTCAAAGGTAAAATAAATTAAAAATGAACTTACCAAAAACTTCGTTATGTAATTATGACCTAATTTTACAATCATTATACGAGAAAATATTTGATTCATGTAATTTTTCAATGGTGTATATAACCGTTTTAAAATTATTTCCCATAACCCTGAAGCGCTGCGCATGTGGTTGACCCCATTACCGACAATTATTTCCCATAAACGGTCCGTAAACTGTTTAATATGTTGACGTTTATTCACACGCATACTTTCTCCGTTTTCAACGCGAGAAATCACTGGTTTTGATTCGAAATCTTTATGCACAGGATGAATTTATGTGTCAGGCGGTAAATCAAACATGTAGAATCAAATTTTGCAACTCTCTGGAACTAACACCCGTGTCGGGCCGCGGTGGTCGGCCCTTTGCCGCCGTGATTTACTCGCCCCGTAAAAAGAAAATGTCAATCGAGTAATGTCATTAAAACACAATCACACGGCGATTGAGCGTTACAAATTAAAACCTTATTATGTGCTGACTATATCTGGAAAATGACCTCTAAATATATGCGGGTTTGGGCATTGACCAAGCCCGTCCAATACCTACACACGTCAATAATATTAATTGCCTAGTTTGACGCTTCGCAACATATTTTTTGTACATACAAGGTGTGTCTTTTATATCTTTATAAATACAACAAACATGCCGTATAATCATGATTAATATGGTGTTGCTGTATTTATTTCTTCGAGCTTTATTTGGTATTGTCTGTTATTTACGATTACAAATACAGTCATATTTAACTGTTATAGCTACTGTAGACCTTTTGCATAAAAAGTTTACATATAAAGTAAATATATAAACCTATATTTTACTATAAAAATATGTTTATCTAAATATTTAGTACAAAAGACATCAACGCGTTGGTAACTTTATTTTTATTTATTTTGCATTCGTAGTGAAAAACTTGATATTTAATTTAAAATACTTTAAATTACTAACAGACATATAAATTAATCTGAACCAAAAATATACGCAATCACCGATGCAATCATATGATACCTATGGAAGTACATATTGAATCTTCAAAACCGTTTTACAGCAGCTGCATTTACGAGTATAAACGGGTAGACCTCATTTTTACTGTGCCACTTCTTACGGTCTTGTGCCCTTTAGCCCAGTACAGTCTGAACAATGAAAAACACCAACACAATATTTAGACGTGTCGTAAAGTACGCCGTATGTAGGTTCGTACTGCAACCGGGAGCCCTTTTCACTGGTCCATAAATAAAAAGCTTAAACGCTCTGCTGTTTTGTGTATGAGTAGAGTATATTGAATTTATTGCACGCAGTGCTTTTCATCGGCTTCCGCGTGGCTCTGAGTCAGCGGCGGCGGTATTATTAGCCGCCTATTCCCGTACGCGCCGGCACAGACTAGCCGACAGATATTTCACAGAAGTGAATTGCTTTCATTCAAATTATGGAATCGGGGATTGTCTACATTGATTTAGTTTAGATTTGGTCTGTCCCTTAAACTGTGACTCTGCTTTTAGCTACTCGTATAAATGTCAGCATCCTTGTGGTTTTACTAATTTGAAATCTTAACTAACTTACCCATTCTCCAAGTAATGATTTGCTTGCAAAAACGACTTATATACTCCTCACTTGAGTCCCCAGCTCCTCACTATGAAAATTCCTGTATTTTTTGCAAAATTATATGTTTTATTACGATCCTATTTTAATTTATTCTTTGAGTATGTTCAGTTATTCGTCGCAACGCTACCGCTGCGTAATCACGACGCGCTATGCGTGGCCTGCAATTAGTGCATTGCTGATATTTGCGACACGAACCGCGATTATCTGATATTACGCGCCATTCATGACATACCTTCAGCGTACACCAACAGAATTGTAGCCGTTTTCCTTATCATAATGAATGAACACAATGTCTTGCACTTTTTCCTTAACACTAGCAACATTCGCACTTATCAATAGATATGTATGTACTATCCATCTATGTAGTTTTCCATTCAATTAAGTAATGAAAATGACATATTTTTCCCCGAAAGTGTGTTGAAAAACATTGCTACGCGCGTGAGCTTTACTAAAGCTTTTAGTAGCGGCTGCAATTCCGCCTCGACGATGTTAATCAACTACGCATACTTATGTGATTCATTAGGATCCAGAGCTAATTAGCATAAACTCAAAGTTTTTTTATCTGGGACTTTAGATACCTATTGATAACCACTTGAATAGAAACTGTTTGTGAGATTATCCGACAAAGCAGTAACAAATTTTTTGTAGACATGACATGCTGTAACTTATCCGATTGTTAACAAAAAAGAATGTTTTTGCAAATCTCAATTTGTCCTATGACCTGCTCTTTAGCTAGGTTTAATTATTTGGTAATTCTGCGTACGCGCACGCGCGGGCAAATTACTGCAGCTACGATTTGCGACATACTCACGCTAATAAGCGGCTAAACATCACACGTCTCACTAAACATAACCACTAATTAATTTAATAAACGTTTAACTTGAAATTACAGTTTGGTTAGAACCGATTATAGAATTAATTTGTTTGTTTTTAGTTTAATACGCGTAATTTCGACTTGATTTTCGGTAGTTTGTAAATATAATTTTGAGTACTACTGATCTTTCTTTAGCTTTGAAATCGATAACCTGAAAATACTTATGTGCTCTCTTTCTGCATTATTGTTTTCATTTAACATTTAAATACGAGTATGTGGAGTTAACTTATTGTAATATGTTATTGATAGGAGAACATAAATAAGAAACATATTTACATTGACTACCTATTATTCTTACATTTTACAAACTACGTCATAATCTCTATACTTATAGTTAAGTACACAGCTCCGTCTTCTTTTCTATTTAGACCTAATTTCCTTCCATTTTCTGCTCAAGCTTATCATCTACTAAAGTCTTAAGCATATTTTCCCCCATTTACTCAATACTCTATCGGTTATTATCAGCACACTAAGTTGTTTGTTTGTAAACAGTACGTTGGGCGTGGCGCACGTGGCGGGCATGTGCAAGCCGGACCGCAGCTGCTCCGTCAACGAGGACAACGGCATCATGCTGGCGCACACCATCACGCACGAGCTGGGACACAAGTGAGTACCATGGCTTCTTCTTTGCGGTTTTTCACGGGACTATTACCATTTCTCGGTCCCACCACTGCAACTCCTGTGTAGTTAGGATCTACAGCTTCTCTTAAAAGTTACCTACCTACTTAAGGGTCATTCCATAAAAATCTGTATATTTTCGACGTCATTTTGTCCGTAACTTTTTTAAGATGCTTTTGAATACTTTATTAGTGTAAATTATTGTTTATTAATTAATTATGTTATGTCTAAAAGGGCCAGTCACTTTATGCTTTATTTTAGGAGAAATTACAATTTTCAATTTTTTCATACTACATTACTCCTATATGACTTCTAATCTATATATGTATATAAAAATGAAACCCGTTTCGCGTTGTCACGGCATCACGTGTGAACGGCTAAACCGATTTCGATAATTCTTTTTTTTTAATGTTTGTGGAAGTCCAAGGATGGTTCTTACGGAAAAAAATATTAAGAAAATCTCTACGCTAAGGCGGTACGAAGTTCGCCGGGTCAGCTAGTAAAGTATAAAACTTATAACCTTAACATTTATAGATAAGTTAATACACATAATGTAGTTGTTTTGTTATTATCACTATATAAAAAACATCATTCCCTAACTAGTAATTTAGTCCCAAGTGCCGTTTAAAGCTAGGGCCTGACGCTCTAGGGACTGACGATTTGGAGTAAAACTTAACACAAATGCAGATTAACTTTATATTATAAGATGCTTAATACGATGTGCCGAAAATAGCCAAAAAACCACACGTAAATACTATTAAATTATATACAATTTCCTATTATAATCAATAAAGCTACTCAACTAGGGACTGACGAAGTGACTGGATTAACACATGTTTCCGCAACAACTGGCACGTTTGCACTAATTCAAAAAACGGCTACCGCAAAGCCAGTATGGTCTGAGGATAACTTCGTATCGTACTTTAAACTCAACTAAATGTCATTCACTCTAAATACATATTAAAGCGCAAAATTATAAAATCGGTTCGTGGCGAGGGAATGACGCTAAAAACTGTAGACTCTTTTTCAACTAAAGAAAATCAAATTATTGTTTATTGAAACCGCAAAATATTAATAGAATTTGGTGTAATATACATTTAAGTAGATTATTCGTTAATTAAAACAAAAGATAAAGTTGATGTTTTTATAAATGTGGGTCCCAAAACACAAACTTTTGGAGTACGGACATGCCTAGGGAATGACGTTTTGGGTCATTCAAAAGGAATTTAAGATGTTTTAAAAATAGTTTCAAAAAATATAAATGGGTGATGAATAAAGCACATTGCGAGCTGTTATTTAACAATTTTGGAATTAAATATTAACAAATATTTCATGTGAAATGTGGCGCGGACTAAGAGTTGACATATTTTTGTGGAATGACCCTTAAATGTAACCTTCCTCTTAAAGACAATTTCCTCTTAAACGGTGCTTCCCAGATCGCCGGAAATTAGAAATCCAAATAAATAAATAAAATTGTATAAACTTTATCATGATATATCCCATTGCATGACATCATTTTCTTTTAAAAATTAGGTAGATACTTTCAAGATTAGCAATGTGTACCTCTCAAAGTGGTTCTCTGTTCTGAGCAAAATCACAACTATTAATAATATCAAATTCAAAGAGTTTAGAGTTGCTGAAACAATGTGTCATTTTTAATGACTTCGGTATTATTTATGACGAGTTCTCAAATTGCCCACAATCGTTTCACGTGCACAGAATGAAAATAAAACAGTCAAATTATATTGATATACTTTTCTTTCTATCGTCTGTAGGTTTTTATAATACATGCCATGCATATTTATCTTTGATATCTATTTTTCTGTTAAAAAAATAACCAGTTACTATTATTGTTAACAGAAATGCATCAGTTTGTTATGACTTGAGCGAAGAAATGTTTAGATAAACTTTTATATGTAAATTGTTATTTTAAGAAGATTGCACCATTTTTCTCTTGATATGTAATCACAAATCTGTGCGTAGATACTAAACCGAAATAGAGACGGTTTTCATAAATCCGCAATAGATAATATCTACTGAATGTTTTACTATGCTATAAATAATTTATTGTTCGATTAGATAAGAGAAAATTATTTAGACCATAAGCAAGATTTATGGCGGAGGAGCGATCGAGCGATGCATTATCGGCCGGCGCGGCATCGATGCCCAGTATTCTGAAACTATAAAATACTAATAGGCATTGATAAATTCAGATAGATTTCATGCTTTACATCGGACTGTAAATTTTATGTGATTTATTAACACTACAATATAAATTACAACAGTCAATCAAATAGGAACTTTACGGTTTGTGTCGTAAGAGCTGTAAAAGCTAAACGCGAAGTAGGTGAACTTTATAAAGGTTTGTTGTTAGTTCAAAATTATAATTGGGTTTGTTTATCATTGCAAATACCGCGCTGTAATTTAAGCTCTCATAAATTAGGTTGACTAGATAATAATATTTCGCTTGTTTGACCTTCCTGAAAGTATGATTACATGCAATTGATATTGTTAAACTAATTACAATTTGCATACACTGTATCACGAGTCCACGATCAGCAACATGCTTCGTTGAAATTCAGTGTAAATATGAATATCAAGTGAACCAGAGTTCCCATTTCACTGCGTGTTCGATATCCATCGTCTCACAACAGCAAATTATTCCTAGCCGTATTTACGTTGATAGTTTTACGCAACGTAACGTTTATAGTACGCAGTAGCTAAGGGCCACATCCCACGACGGTTCTATGGCGACGTAGGCATAATAAAGCTTCAAAACACAAACTTCAGCTTATCATATTTTTTGATATTAGGTAGAATTGGTTATTTGTAGTTCTAGCTTTCATACCATCTTCCAGATTCAAACAATTTGCTTCAATCTTGTCACTATAGAACTGCTGCTGGCTTCCCATAGCTTCATACTGAGCTGTGCGCCTAAGTTCGACTGGCTTCGCAAATAGGTTATTGTAACATTGCAACAGCATCATTAGTCTGTCGTCCACTTCGCTCCAGGCGCCTACTGTATGGGCTTCACGATATTCACTTCGATCGTCTATCGAAATGATAAATTACAGTTGAATGGCTCCATCCAAATTATATTGTATTACCAATACATTTCATAATAGCTGTATTGTGTGATAAAAGCACACTTCATTATGCGTAAGTTGTAAAGATTTCAGCATTAGCTGATTGTAAGATTATGAAAATAAAATACGTTTATCGTAAGTTTTATCACTTGCACAACACTCGACAGTGTTCAAAAAATGTTTACAACGACAACAATGTCTTACGGTTTCACCAGACGGATAAATCATTTCCCCACAAAATGCGAAGATATTTTAAGCCCCACGAGTGCCGTTACATTGTTATGCTATATTATTTTGAAAATAAGTGCTAATTTTATTTGGCAACTGTTGCCTAGCGCTTCGCTATCGACTGACTCATGTTACTAACTCGGGATTGCCGCAAGGACGTTGCGTTATGATAGAAAAATTCAAATGATTCTTCCATTCCACTTCTAATTTTAGTAATCATTATTAGAGGTGCGAAATTGATGATGATAAGATACAATTTGCGAGAAAATCTTGCGCAATATTTTATTAAAGATTTCACGCAAGTGTTTGTTGAATTCTATCCACTATAGCGTATGCAGCTGAATTTACATAATAATAACACCTATGGGTCTTGCATTTCAGTTATCTTAAGTCTGAGCTTTTCTTTAGAAGTCGCAGAGGCTTTCAAACTGCCATCAATACTGCAAGACAACGCTAAAGAGCTTTAAATAAAGTACGATAGTTGGGTGTAAATCCGTGTAATTTAAGGCCAGGGATTGTGTGAACACAAACGACGGCTTATTATGAGCCAACAATGTAGCAAGAGCACATCAGGTTTCACATATTTGTCGCAAAATCACCCTTAGCACTACTACATAAGATACTATAGTGCATGAAGCTTGATGTGCCATCATGGATACGAGAAAAGACTCCGTGAAATGTAGCTGAGGCATTGAACGGTTTGAATACGTATCGTGCAATTGTGTATTTACAGTTTACAAGCCGTAAATAGCCATAGAAGGATTCGTGGGCGTGGGCTTTTAGTAGGTACATGATTGTGCAAAAATATTGCTTGGTATCAAGAATAATATTCGAATAAATAGTGCGATGAGCGTATATCTACGAGTATACGCGGAATCATAGAAGTTTTGAGTACAAAAAAACGTATAAAGTGTTAAGTACCAAATCATCGATCGACTTCAACAATAAAATTGACGATCAATCATAGGTAGGTGTGGCAGCTTTGACCGGTTTAGACAAAACGTAAGCTATTAAGTAATGGCCATAAATTCGATCGCGATCCAAAATACCTACAAAAACATAATAACACAGATATCGTATCAGATCAGGCAACAGCAGGTGTATTTATGTCAATTTGAACTTCCGCTCTATCAGTAAGTAAATAAAGGACGTAATTGCAGTTGCGTGCTAGACAACACCTACAACCATAACGCACACAAAGGTTACATAACTGGCGCACAACGACCTTCCGACGAGAATGCATCATTCGCGCAGAACGATGCCCCCGCGCGTATCTCCAAACAACATCGTTATTTTTTAACTTATCTCGAACAAAGAATAATGGAAATGATAACCGGCGCCAAACTACGCCTGTTTATGCAATTAAAGATTTTATTACCAATAAATGTATCATCTTTCCGTATTTCAGCAATCAATCAATGTTGACATTAATTAGATAATTTATGAAAGACGGTCTTATAAAAATAACCGCGTTTGCTATTCTTGTAGTACAGTCATCAACAGATAAGCAGTGTCATGTATTGGGCCGATACGGAAATAATACACTAATATTAAATATTGACCACAAATAGGTAATTTTCCTAATTTATTTAACTCCGAATGAATGGGCTGTTGTAATCGATTTAAAAACTTAACGAAATAAGCCATAAAATCGTTATCTATAGGTACTTATAA